CAGTTATAGGCAGATGGCTGGGCCTGGGTCACATGTGAGTCCCTGAGCTGGGGGACCTGCCTCTCCAGTGGAGAGATGGCTTCCCAGGCGTAAACCAGGCTGCTATTCTCAGACTAAAGGAATGTAGCCTGTAGGGCAGCTAAAGAAAGCTTCTGACCTTCTGAGTTGCCCTGGGATGAGTGAAACATACAGTGACCTCCTGCTCATGTTTACTGAGTACCAGTTTCTGGAGTTCAGCAGTAAACAACCAGTTCTAAGCCACGCTCTCTGCATTGAGAGCAGTCTGTGCAGAGGCCTGTGCATTTCTTCTCAGCTCTCCCTCCCACTCAGACAGGGATCTCAGGAAGGCAGAGTCTGGGCTTTGTTGAGGATTTTGGCCTAGCCTGGATTTTCTCCAGGATTTTCTTGCAAAGCCAGGCCAGTGGCTTTTTTTAATTTTTTTATTTTTTTGGTCATGGGGCTTGAACTCTGGGCCTGGGCGCTGTCCCTCAGCTCTTCAGCTCAAGGCTAGCACTCTACCACTTGAGCCACAGCACCACTTCCATTTTCTAGTGGTTCATTGGAGATAAGGGTCTCATGGACTTTCCTGCCCTGGCTGGCTTTGAACCATGATCCTCAGATCTCAGCCTCCTGAGTAGCTAGGATGACAGTCATGAGCCATTGGTGCCTGGCAGGCCAGTGACTTTTATACCTTCCCTGAAAAGCTCATTCACAGGTCGGAGGTGCAGCTCTGGGGTAGAGCAGTTGTCTAGCATGTATGAACCCCTGGGTTTCAAGTTCAGCACCACCAAAACAAAACAAAAACTCAGACTGGCTTTAGCCATGCTTGAGATCATGTGTAACTTTGGGAAAATCAGATCTTCCTGACTTTGTTTGAATTTTTGAAATGAAATGGTTGGGAAAGGTGCTCACTGAGATTTGCTCCTGTAGTACTGACTGAGACACTGGTAGAGGTGAGGCAGGTCATGAGACACCGGGGGCTGGTGTGGTCTGGCGAGCCAGCAAGTATGTCCCCTGCCTGACACCTGTACTTGTGGCCACAACCACGTATCAGGACAGCTGATTCTTTTAAGAGATTCTAGAAATTTGACAATACTGCAGCTGTAGCACTCTACCATGAAGCCATATCCCCAGCCTGAGGTTCTGGAACTTTTGATTTTGATCTGAAACTGGCTCTAAAACATTGACATCTCATTCCAATAGTTACAAGCATGGAGCGTGCCAAGAAAACATGGCAGTGACCATGTGTCAGCCAGCGGTCCCCATTTGCAAGTTGTTTTTCCCCCTCTAGGGACTATGATGGGGCTCTGCAGACTCCAAACCAGAGACCTCTCTTACTGTCACACAAGAGGCGGCCTTTGTCTTTTGGCACCCTTGTCCATGTCAGTATCTCCAAACTAGTGTTGAAGGAGAGAGACACTGGGTCTGGAGCAGGCCAGCCGGGCCCGCTGGCACACTGCCCAGGTCCTTCTGAGACAGCCGGCTCCTGTGAAGCCCACAATGGGTGGGCGCTGTGTTAGCCTTCTGACGCCAGTGTGATGGGGTGCCACAAAGCCGGCCTTGAGCCACAGCACAGCTCAAGGCAGTGTCGCCAGGCCTGGGGTCTTCTGCAGGCTGTGGCCTGGCCCAGGCCCCGGCTGCTGGCATTCTGTGGCATCCTGTCCTGCAGAGGCATTAGCCACCTTTGCCACTGTGTGTCCATGCGTCCACACCTGGACCCACACCTGCTGCATTGAGGTCATCTAGGGCTCGTTTTCTTCCACCCCTCTGCAAAGACCTGTCCCCAACAGGCCACATTCTGAAAGACTGAGAGCTAGGAGTCCATCTCAGCCTCTCTTTTCGGAGAACAGTGTTCAGCCACAGCAGGTGTGCAGGGCTGTGGGGGGGGGGAGGGGAGAGGCGGTCCTTGAACCTGTGTTTGTCACCCGAGGCAAGAGGCTCTGCTCCCAGCTCCTGTCCCTGTTCCTTTCAGGACTACCTGGTCCCTCTGCTCTCCCACCTCTTGGTTGCCACAGGCTGTGCCTGCATCACGTTCTACCCTCCCCGTCCCCACCCTGGTACTTGCTCAGCCTTTGGTGCTCAGGCTAAACAGAACATTCCAGAACCATGGACTACAGCGGCACACACCATGATTCCAGCCCCTGGGAGGCTGAGGCAGGAGGATCAGGAGTGCCAGGCCAGCCTGGCTACACAGACTGTCATGAACAAGAAAATTTCCCAGGGGAAGCCATCCTTACCCCATACCTTTGCCTGCCCCTGTGCGCCCATGGGTATCTTTTCCTATTTCTGGAGGCCTCCCCAACTGTGCCGTGGACCCACTGAGGGCCTCCTCTTAAATTCTTGTCTCCCTCAAGAGTCAAAGCCCTGGTGCCGGGAAGTTGGCCCAGTGGTAGAGCGCTTGCCTTGCATGCATGAGGTCCTGGGTTCTATTCCTCAGCACCACGTAAGCAGGGGGGAAAAAAAGCCCAAAGTAGCTCTGTAGCTCAAGTGGTAGAGCACTAGCCTTGAGCTGAAGAGCTGAGAGACAGCGCCCAGGCCCACAGTTCAAGACCCACGACTGACCAAAAAATAAAAAAAGGGCCGAAGCCCTTCCGTCTTGGTTACCCACATATAGCAGGCCCTCTACGGTTTGCTAAAGACCGAATCTGTGATTGAATTTTCTTTAGGACTTCTTGGGCCTCAGTTTTCCTAAGCAAGAGACGTTGTTACTGGTTGAGCCTCGGGTCCGGGGAGGCCGTTGTTGCTGGCCTGTTAGGAACTTGGGGCGGTTTGGGGCTCCTTTCACTAGCCTGAGGGTGTAGGTAAAGGACCTAAAGCAGCAGACTGCCTTGGGTTTAGGTTCTCACTTTTGTCCTCCCCTGCCCCCACCACTGGCTTCTTGCCAGGCTGTAGCCGGGTGGTAGCTCTGCCCAGGAACTCTGCCTTTGGCGGGCAGCAAGCCCAGGCTGGACATGGCCCCTGGGAAATGGCAAAGCACTTCCTGGAGGCCGGTGCCATTTGGCTTCCTGGCAGAGGAAGAACCCTGCTTTCATCCTGGCCAGGGGCTGGGTCCATCTGCTGCAGGAAGGGCTGCAGCTTCTGCTGGGTGCCCTGTGAGCGCGGACGCTCCACAGAGAAGGAGCAGAGCTTAGGCACAGGGCACAGGGCCCGGATGCCTGGCATTTGGTCAAACTCAAGCAGCTCTGCAGGAAGGTCCTCTTCTCAGGGCTCTCCTAGAATTGATGCCCCACCCTTTGTCCCTTAGGCCTGACGTGGGAGGGTTGTACAAGCAGGCGGGGATGAGCTAGTGTCTGGGCCTGAGGCTCGGCCAAGCCACAGTCCTGCTGGTCTTTTTTGTGTGTGTGTGTGGGTTATAGGGCTTGAACTCTGGGCCTGGGCGCTGACCCTGAGCTCTTCAGTTCAAGGTGAGCCACTTGAGCCACAGCACCACTTTGATTTCTGGTAGTTAATTGGAGATAAAAGTTTCATAGCGTTTCCTGCCTGGGCTGGCTTTGAACCATGGTCCTCAGCTACTCAACCTCCTGAGTAGCTAGGATTACAAGCGTGAGCCACCATGCCTGCTAATCTTGCTGTTCTTTTTTTTTTGGGTCCAGTCGTGGGGCCTAAACTCTGGGCCTGGGCGCTGTCCCTCAGCTCTTCAGCTCAAGGCTAGCACTCTACCACTTGAGCCACAGTGCCACTTCCGGCTTTTTTCTTTTTGCTTATGTGGTGCTGAGGAATTGAACCCAGGGACTCAGGCATGCAAGGCAAGCGCTCTACCACTGAGCCACCTTCCCAGCCCCAATCTTGCTGTTCTTATGCAAAGCTTTTGTATGGTTTTCTACTGGGAGACTTGGTAACTCTCGTGCCCCCCCCCTCCATGATTTGGAACACTGGCCCAGACTCTTGAGGCTTGGACAGTCCAGCCCCTCTAGCGCAGTGGCCTTGACCTGGGTCTGCACCACACTCTGCCTCCTCCTTCTAGACCTTGAAGGCCAGGCTGCGTGAGAGGCGGCCAGCTCACCAAGGAGACTGATTAAAAGCAGTTTGCTGGGGTAGAAGGCTTGTGTCCTTGGCCTGGAGACGAGATCGATAAGCAATTGTTTTTCTGTTGGCAAGAAAAGATCTCTCCATCGACTTTCCCAGGCACCACCAGGCCTGGCTGTCTTTTTAGGAACTCTTATAGCCTATTCCTCCAGGAACAGTGTATGAGAGGTGTTGGGTGTGCTTTTCTCTACACATTTTTTTTTTTTTTTGGGTCCAGTCATGGGGCCTGAACTCTGGGCCTGGGCACTGTCCCTCAGCTCTTCAGCTCAAGGCAAGCGCTCTACCACTTGAGCCACAGCACCACTTGTGGCTTTTTGCTTTTTGCTTATGTGGTGCTGAGGAATTGAACCCAGAGCCTCAGGCATGCAAGGCAAGCGCTCTACCACTGAGCCAACTTCCCAGTTCCCCTCTATACATTTGTGGGTTGGGTCACGTCATGCTTTGTGAGGTGTTTGTTTTTGCTAGATAACCCAGGCTGGCCTTGAACTCATGAGCCTCCTGTCTCAATCTCTTGAGTGCTGGAACTACAGGTATTCATTGCAGTGCCTGGCTTCTGAGTAGCCTCACTGCGAGTGGTAACATGTGAGAAGTGGCTTGGTATTTAGCCGCTCTCTGAGAGAGGGAAGACTGGTTCTAAGACCTTGACTACTTGCTCAAGGGAGGGTAAGTCATTGTTTTTGTTGTGTTTGGTGCTTTGTGGTACTTGGGATTAGGGGATTGAACCCAGGACCTTGCACATGCTAGGCAAGCATTCTGCTGGTAGGGCCTCATTAGCAGCTTGAACAGGCCTCTTTGACCTGCATCCTTCTATCCTCCCAAGTGTTGGGACTACAGGTGTGTGACACCACTCTAAGCTGCAAAGTCTATTTTTTTTTTTTCCAAGGATATTGACTCAAGGCAGGAATTGGAACACAGCCTGGACTGGAGGGGGCTGCCTTCCGGTCCCTGCGCTCTCAGCCTCCCTCTCCCTGCAGGTGGCAGTGCTGCGGATGGAGGAGCGCTGCGGATGGTGTGCTGGTGGGTGAAGTCGGCCCTCGCATCATGTCATCATGTGTCTCTAGCCAGCCCAGCAGTGACCAGACCACCCCCCAGGATGAACTGGGGGGCAGGGCCAGCAGCAGTGAAGGCCAGAAGCCCTGTGAGGCCCTCCAGGGCCTCTCCTCCCTGAGCATCCGCTTGAGCATGGAGTCCTTCATCGTGGTTCCTGAGTGTGAGCCGGGCCGGGCTGTGGATCTCCGCCTGGCCCGGGGCCGGACGCTGGAGACTGATGGCCACGAAGTCTCCCTTAACGCGTCAGGGTCCCAGGCCCGGTTCTCAGCTCGAAAACTGTCCCTGCAGGAGCAACCCCAGGGTAGGCTGACTGCTGGCAGCCCTGATGTGAACGGTCGCTGCGCCCCCTCCCTGTCCTACTCGCCCGCCAGCTCCCCGCAGTCCTCACCACGGCTTCCCCGGCGGCCCACGGTGGAGTCTCACCACGTCTCCATCACAGGCATGCAGGTGCGTGAGCGGGCCGCTGGAAAGGGTCTCTTGGTGGGGCTGGGCTCCCCCAAAGGCCTCCGGTGCACTGAAGACCCTGCATTTGCACCCAGTTACCACTGTCATCCAAAACTGCTGGTGGCTGGTGACCACACAGAACAGGTTGGGCTCCGGCAGAGACTGGCGTGTTCCTCCCCACATTGCAGACTCTGGTGCTGGCAGAGCCCGTGGCTCTGTGGTCAGGTCTCCCAAGTGACCCTATCCACATCAGCAAGGTGCCACCGTTCCCCAAGGCCAGGACCCTGCCATCTACCCCTTCCCCTGTTCCATCTGCCTGCCTGCCTCCCTCTCCTTTCCTCTTTCCACCCCTTTCTCCATCTCTCCTTCCCTCTCTTTCCATCTTTCTCTCTCTCTCTCTCTCTCTCTCTCTTTCTCCTTTTTTTCCCTCCTCTGTCTCTTCCTCTTTTTCTTTCTTGGTAGTTGTTCTGCCTGGTCATTTTCCCTTAGCTTTTTTTGCTCAGGGCTAGCACTCTATTGCTTGATCTACAGTTCCACTAACAGTTTTCTGGTGGTTAATTGGAAATAAAAGTCTCATGGGCCAGGCACTGGTGGCTCAAGCCTGCAATCCTAGCTACTCTGGAGACTAAGATCTGAGGATCGCAGTTCAAAATCAGCCCCAGCAGGAAAGACCTGTGAGACTCTTTATCTCCGATAAATCACCAGAAAACGGAAGTGGAGCTGTGGCTCAAGTGGGTAGAGCAGTAGCCTTGAACTGAAGAACTTGAGGGACAGCGCCCAGGCTCAGAGTTCAAGCCCCACAACCGACCAAAAAAAGAGTCTCATGGACTTTGCTGCCTGGGTAGACTTCCAACAGTGATCCTCGAATCTCAGCCTCCTAAGTAACTAAGATTACAGGCGTGAGCCATGGGCCCATGGCTTTCTTGCTCATTTTTAATTGGATTATTGGACTTATTATTGTTGAATCATAAGATTCTTGGGACACAGTCTTCTGTCAAGATGAATGATAGTTTCTCTCAGCCAAAGGCTTGCCTATTCCCTTGCTCTGTCTTCCTCCTTGTTTTTCTTTCCCTTTTTTTGGTGGTACTGGAGTTTTAAGCTCAGGGGCCTTGTACCTGCTAGTGCAGCGCTCTACACAGAGCCATGCCCCAGTGCTGCAAGATTACATTTGTTTTAGCCAGTCCTAGGGCTTGAACTCAGCACCTGGGTACTATCCCTGAGCTGCTTTTGCTCAAGGCTAGTATTCTACCACTTGAGCCACAGCTCCACTTCTGACTTTTTCTGTGTATGTGGTACTGAGGAATTGAACCCAGAGCTTCATGCATGCTAGGCAAGCACTCTACCACTGAGCCACCTTCCCAGCACACAGATTACATTTTGATCAAGTATGATGACAGTGGAGAGATATGCTGTGAGGAGCCAGGGTAGTGGTTACTTGGGGAAGCTCTGGCTGGGGGAGCTCTGGGGAGCCAGGAGTCTGCCTTGATTGGGGTCCTGGTTGTATGTGAGTGGTCGTTTGTACATGATTTCATTTAGCATATCTTTATTTCTCATGTTCTTCTTGCTTTTTAGGACTGTGTGCAGTTGAATCAGTACACACTGAAGGACGAGATTGGAAAGGTAAGTGTCCCTGGGGCCTGGCTCACTGTCCACGGTGACTGGGCTTGCTCACGCTGGTGGGAGGGAACCAGTGGGGCTAGGAGAAGGCAAGGCTAGGGCTGAGCTTTGTTATTAAAGCCTTTTTTTTTAAATTTATTAAACATGTTTCTGCAAAAGCTCAGAAAGCTTCCAGAGAAATCTAGTTTTACCCTGGAGATAGTTCCTATTACATTAGTGGATTTCCTGTCAAGGGACTCATTGCTAGTGAGCAGTACCATTACACCATTACACAGGCTCCAAACTCAGGTGCCAATAGAAATGTCTTTGTGGGTTGGCGGTGCCAGCTGTGAGGCGAGCCTGGGGCGCCAGTGGGGAGCGGTGGGGGTTGGAGCCAGATGCTGACATATGGACAGGGGGTCAAATGATGACTTTTTCAAAATACGATTTTAAATATTTGCCACTAATTCAGGCTTTGTAAAACTGCAGGTACAACAAAATACAATAACAGGGCACATTTGGCCCATGGGCTGCTGGTTTGCCAGCTCTGTTTCAGGGCCCTCATTTTGCAGACTGTAACTTCTGGATAGTATGTCATGGCATCTCCCTTTATCCAGGGCTCCTATGGTGTGGTCAAGTTGGCTTACAATGAAAATGACAATACCTACTATGTGAGTACCCTGTCCCCTCCCCCTCCCCAGCCTTGCCAGTGCTCAGCTTCCTGGCAGAGCCTTGGTGGGTTGGGGGTAGGGGGCCTCCACACTGTCTCATTTCTTTCTGATGCTGTCTGCAAGGAAGCAGCACCCTGCTTTATAGATGAGGAGATGCGAGGGGAAGTGGGAGGTGCAGCAGGGATCTCTCCTACCCTCATCTGAGCTGTCCTTCCTCAGCCTCCATAGATCTGAGAACAAGGCAGCAGCTGGACGAATCGCCCTTGCGGCTGATCCCTTGGAGCCAGTGCAGGTTTAAACCTTGACTCTGACATGCTAGCCATGTGAGCTTGAGCGAGTGATATTTCCTCACAAGTAAAGTTTTGATTCACAGCAGTGACAAAGGCTCACGGGTTCCTACTTGGGCCTGCAGACCAGAAACTGACCCGTCCCCAGGCATCTGCTCTCCATACAGCCTGGTAGCCACTCAGCTACTTGAGGGTGCTCACTAAAAATGTCCTAAGGTTGCCAGGGGCCTGAGGGCTGGAGTAGGCCTGGAGTGGAGGGGCCCTCGCCTCTCCTCTTCCTGTTCCCTCCTCCTTCCTTCCTGCTGTAACAGGGATTGATCTTCTGCAGGCGATGAAGGTGCTGTCCAAAAAGAAGCTCATCCGACAGGCAGGCTTTCCACGTGAGTTTGGTGGGCTGGGCATTTGTTTTGTGCCAAGGCTGGGGCAAGAGAGGGCACAGCCCGCCAAACGGGTTCCCTGCCAAGAGTTCCCTGAAAGATGCCACTGCATTCAATACCTGCCCTGAAAGACAGTGCTGGCTGTGGTTCTGTATTTTATGTTTTCATTTTTTTTTTTTTTGGGTCTGGTCATGGGCCTGAACTCTGGGCCTGGGCGCTGTCCCTCAGCTCTTCAGCTCAAGGCTAGCGCTCTACCACTTGAGCCACAGCGCCACTTCCTTTTTTTTTTTTTTTCTCTTTTGCTTATGTGGTGCTGAGGAATTGAACCCAGGGACTCATGCATGCAAGGCAAGCACTCTACCACTGAGCCACCTTCCCAGCCCCTGTTTTCATTTTTTGAGACATGGTCTCACTAAGTTGCCAGAGCTGATGTCAGGTTGAGATCTCCTCTTCCCTTAGCCTCCTAAGTACTAATATTACAAGTGGGAGCCACCAGACTCAGGTGCTGGATTCATTTTAGTTGAGGAATATTTATTAAAGCAATATAGGTATATAGGTATCAGGTCAAAAAATCAAACAGCTAACAACGCGGTCCCTCAAAAAGGGCTGCGCGTGGTGTCACCACATGCCGCAGTTCCTCTGCTAGGCACATCCTTGAGAGAACTGAAAATGCACGTCCACAGAAAAGCTGGCACAAATGTCTACCGTGGCGCTGCTCAGTAACCAGCACATGGAAACACCGACATGCCCGCTGACATGAACAATGCCGTGATCTATGTGTATCCAGTGGAATATTTCTGTCATGAAAAGGAATGTAGGTTCAAAATGAGCTCCAACATGGGGGAATCTTTTATTTTATTTTATTTTTTTGTTTGTGCCAGTCCTGGGGCTTGAACTCAGGGCCTAGGCACTGTCCCTGAGCTTCTTTTGCTCAAGGCTAGCACCCTGCCACTTGAGCCACAGCACTACTTCTGGCCTTTTCAGTTTATGTGGTACTGAGAATCGAACCAGGTCTTCATGCATGCTAGGCAAGCCCTCTACCACTAAGCCACATTCCCAGCCCCTCTTACTTTTTTTTTTTTTTTAATCATTTTTACTAGGACTTGGAAGCAGAGCCTTGTACTCTTGACTGGCTTTCCCCCCCTGCATCTAGGTTAGCATTTTGCAGTTTAATTAGAGGTAAACTTTTCTGCGCAGGTTGGCTTTGAACTGCTATCTTCACATCCTGAGTAGCTAGGATTATAAGCGGGAGCACTGATACCCAGCATTATGTCACTGTTAATTGACAGCCTTCCACATTTTCTGACTTTGTCTCAGAACAGATGAGGACTGCACTTGCTCCTTGCTCCCCCGCGTCCTAGTCAGCTCAGGCTGCTGTCGCACCTTAACCATGACGTGAACAACTCACCCACTGGCCCTGGGACACTGAGAAAGCTGAGGGAGACCTCAATTGTCTCAGTGAATTCCTGTCCCTTGCTGAGGTTGGGGAGCAAGGAGAGTCACTGAAAAGCAGACAAGGGGAAGCATCACATTAAGTGAGGCAAGCCAGGTAGGTTCAGAAGGACAAAGGTCACATGCTTTCTCAAGTGGATGTTAGACCTAAAATACATATATATATACACACACACACACATACACACACATATACATATATATATATATTCTGACTAGAGTACAGTATATGCGTGTGTGAGATACCATGAATACAACACCTTTGGACAGTTAACATGCACTTTAACAAAAAATGAATATTAACCCAGATGCCAGTAGCTCAGGCCTATAATCCTAGCTCCTCAGGAGGCTGAGATCTGAGGTTCGTGGTTCAAAGCCTCTCTGAGCAGGAAAGTCCATATCTAATTAACCACCAGAAAATCAGAAGTTTTGCTGTGGTTCGAGGTGGTAGAGCGCTAGCCTTGAGCAAGAAAGCTCAGGGATAGGGACCAAGCCCTGAGTTCAAGCTCCACAGCTGATAGGGAAAAAAAGACTATTAGGAGTTGAAACATGTCTGGGGTGTAGGTTCTAGTGGGAGGGGCAGATGATGGACAGGAAGGTGAATATAATCAGAATCTTTTGCGTACACTTGTGAAAATGGAGCAAGGAAACTTACCAAGACTGGTTAGGAGAGGGGAGGAGGGAGAATGGTGGAGGGATAACTGGTGAAGATTGAGTTGCATTGTATACACAAATGGACATGCTAAGTGAAATCCTCTTTTGCAACAAATCTAGCCTCAAAAATAAAGTCCCTGGGCTGGGAAGGTGGCTCAGTGGTAGAGGGGTTGCCTTGCATGCATGAGGCCCTGGGTTCAATTCCTCAGCAACACATAAGCAGAAAAGGCTGGAAGTGGCACTGTGGCTCAAGTGGCAGGGCGCTAGCCTTGAGCTGAATTGCTGAGGGACAGTGCCCAGGCCCAGAGTTCAGACCCCACAACCAGCAAAAAATAAAAAAATAAAGTCCCTGCTGTCATCAGCCACTCAGCTCGCATCTTAGTGATAAAATGGGGAAACTGAGCCCCCTGCCAAATTTTCCCCTTTCATTCATCTTACCAGACAAAGGAAAATCCTTTCATTCTTACCCTGGGTCCCTTTGTATCTCCTCCAGGTCGCCCCCCACCTCGCGGTACCCGCCCAGCTCCTGGGGGCTGTGTTCAGCCCCGGGGTCCCATTGAGCAAGTGTACCAGGAAATTGCCATCCTCAAGAAGTTGGACCACCCTAATGTGGTGAAGTTGGTAGAGGTGAGCTGGGGTGTATGTGCAGAGATAGAGGGAGAGAGAAAAATGTAAAGGAGGGAAGGAGGGAGGAGGGAAAGGAAAGGAGAAAGAGGAGGGTGATGGTCCAGCCCTGGTATTGTTCTTACTGGAGGTTCATCACTAGTTTCCAGAGAGAGCCATGGCATGGCAGACAGTTGGCTGTGGGCCCATGGTCTTATCCCAGCCTCCTTCCCCTCTGTGCCACTGTTACTTCCTGTTAACTCTCATCCTCCTCAACACTGCTTACTACTCCCATCTTGCAGATCCATGAATTGGGGCTGAGCTCTACTGCTTTTCATCCATTTCTCTCTGGAGCTAGCCTCTGGGTAGTTGGCGTCCAAAAGGTGCCATACACGTTAGTGGGCACCACTGTGTTCCAATAAAACTTTATTTATAAAACCAAGAGGAGGGCTGGGAAGGTGGCTCAGTAATAGAGTGCTTGCCTTGCAAGCCAGAGGCCCTGGGTTTGATTCTCAGCACCACATAAGCAAAACGCCAGAAGTGGCACTGTGGCTCAAGTGGTAGAGCGCTAGCCTTGAGCTGAAGAGCTGAGGGACAAGCCCAGGCCCAGAGTTCAGGCCTCACGACCGGACCCCAAAAAAAAAAAAAAATCAATAAAACCAAGAGGATTGGGCCCACAGGCTTCTAACTAACCAAGGCCTGTTGTAGGCCAGCTGTTCTCACACTTGGTCTCAAGACCCCTTTATTTGTGTGTGTCAGTCATAGAACTTGAACTCAGGGCCTAGGTAATGTTTCTGAGCTCTTTTGCTCAAGCCTAGTGCTCTACCATTTTGAGCCCAAGCAGTAATTCCACCTTTGTGGTGATTAATGGGAAATAAGAGTCTCAAAGACTCTCCTGCCCAGGTTGGCTTTGAACTGCAATTCTCAGATCTCAACCTCCTGAGTAGCTGGGATTACATAGGTGTGAGCCACCGGCACCCCACTCTTAAAAATTATTGATGACTTTGTGTTTGCTTTTATCACTATGACAAATATCAAACAGAAAATGCAGAAAAATTTATTAATTTTATTTTTTGGTTGGTTGTGGGACTTGAACTCTGGGCCTGGATGCTGTCCCTCAGCAGTTCAGTCAAGGCTAGCGCCCTACCACTTGAGCCACAGCACCACTTCTGGTTTTTCTAGTGGTTTATTGGAGATTAGAATCTCATGGAGTTTTCCTGCGCTGGCTGACTTTGAACCGTGATCCTCAGATCTCAGCCTCCTGAGTAGCTAGGATGACAGGCACCCAGCAAGGAAAAGTTTATTTTTAACACATGGTTTTAGTCCACTGCTTTGAGCCTGGGGTTAGGCAGACATATCATGGCCTACAGGAGTATGTGATGGAGTCTGCCATCTCATGAGGGCCAGGAAGCAGGGAGGGAGCCCAGGAACCTGGGACAGGATTCCCTTCAAATGCAGTGACCTACTTCCAGGTAGGCCCCACTCCTAGTTTCCACCGACTCCCAGCAACCCTTGGGGATCAGGCCTTCAGTGATCTATTAATTGATTTTAAAACAACATAATCTTCATAGATGCAAACAAAAGAAATACATTTGTATGAGCAAGAGTGGCATAATTTTACATGTTTGATACCAGTGAGTCAGTTGAGGTTGACACGGCCTAGTGCTGGCCCTCCCAAGGGAGTCAGTTCCAAGCAGGTGGGGAGGAATGGGGCTGCTTTATGGAAAGACCACTTGAGCCCATGTAGTGTAATTCTTTTTTTTTTTTTTTTGGGTCCGGTCGTGGGCCTGAACTCTGGGCCTGGGCGCTGTCCCTCAGCTCTTCAGCTCAAGGCTAGCGCTCTACCACTTGAGCCACAGCGCCACTTCCAGCTTTTTTCTTTTTGCTTATGTGGTGTTGAGGAATCGAACCCAGGGCCTTAGGCATGCAAGGCAAACACTCTACTGCTGAGCCACCTTCCCAGCCCCCCATGTAGTGTAATTCTGTAAATTCTAGTCTGTGTCTACTGGGAGACAAGTTGCAGTCCTGTCCCTGCTTGAGATATTCCCCAGAGGAGGGCTTGCCCCTCTCTACTGTTACCTCCTTTCTGGATGTTTGGGACCCTTGAGGATTGGTCTGGAAGCTGCTTACTTGCATAATGGCTATTGGGTCTCACTTAGGAAGACTTGAGTACTCTCCCACTTGTCTAGAAATGTAGAAGTGCGCCCTCTTTTTTTTTTTTTTTGTCTGTCGTGGGGCTTGAACTCTGGGCCTGGGTGCTGTCCCTCAGCTCTTCAGCTCAAGGCAAGCACTTTACCACTTGAGCCACAGAGTCTCACAGACTTTCCTGGCTTTGAAACGCGATCCTCAGATCTCAGCCTCCTGAGTAGCTAGGATTACAGGCGTGAGCCACCAGCGCCTGGCAGAAGTGTGCCCTCTTGAGACAAATGCAGCCATGTGCTTCTGCTGCCTCTGTTCACGTGCTCATTTTCTCCTCTCCTTGCTCCTTGTCCTGGCCTGTCCCTGGATGCCTGTGTCAACAGGTCCTGGATGACCCCAATGAGGACCATCTGTACATGGGTAAGAGAGACGGGAGGCGGGGGGGGGGGGGGGGGGGGGGCTGAGCCTGTTGAAAATAAAACAGCAGGCATCTTGACACTTAGCCCCTAAATACTTTAGTGTACATCTCAGTAAGGGTTATTCAGTCCCATGATCATGTTAAAAGCTCTCATTTCCACATTTGGATGAAATCTCTACAGTTACTTTTTTACTTTGCAGCCCAGGCCTGGGTATAAAACAAATGATGATAAACAGTCCACATAGTAGAAAGAAAGGCCTTGAACAACAGGCCGATCCTCAAACTTGATCTGTATTTCTAGAATTAGAGAGATCCTCCCCCAACTCTCCAACACATGACGAACCCCAAGAGTAGCTGATCTGTTGGTGAATAAAAATAGAGCTGTTTCAGTTGGCCCATCCCTGTTGATTTGTGGTGCCTGGGTGGGCAGGGAGAAGGGGCAGAGATTCATGAAGCTTGCTTCTTTAAGACTCAAGTAACCAGGCCCACAAGGCCAAAGCTTCTAACGTTATCCTGAAGCAACAGCAGATCCGCCCTCACTCAGGCTCATGGTGCTTGAGGACCTCGCTGGGACCAAAGGACATAGTTTAGCACCCATTACAACCCTAGAACCCCCAAGCGAGCAGAGGGATGAGGGGAGCCCAGGAACCACCCCTGCTGCCCTTCTCCCCCTTTCCTCTTTCCCTATAGGTCCTCAGCCATTTTGAGCACTAGAAATAAAAGCCAGATTAGGGTCCTGGGGACCTAGAAATCCCTAGTCCTTCCCTTCCCGATAGGATCTCAGAAAAACCTTGAGCAGCTTTGATTCCGTGGACATTTCCTCTCCCTTGCCCTCAGCAGAGTTTTTGTGCTTAGTGTCCTCCGAGGCAAGGAGGATGGGGCGAGGGATGGGCTCCCAGGTTCCAGTGTAACAGTACCCCTTTTCTTCCCGACAGTGTTCGAGCTCGTCAACCAGGGGTGAGTGCCCTAGCTCTGTGATGCCGAAGTTTCTGGAGCAGAAGAGTAGAGTGAGGCTGTGCCAGGCTGCCTGGGGGGAGAGCGGGGCTGGGTGGTCTGGTTTGCATTCACTGTGTGTCTGCCTCTCAGGCCTGTGATGGAAGTGCCTACCCTCAAACCGCTCTCTGAAGACCAGGCCCGTTTCTACTTCCAGGATCTGATCAAAGGCATCGAGTACTGTAAGTGCCTGTGGGAGGTCGCTTGCCCAGGGAGTAGTTAGCAGTCAAGCTGGAAAGTGGAAAACATCTTATTTTCCTCCTGGAGCACATGGAGGTGGGCGGCAGAGCCATCCTAAGCTGAGCCTGTGGGGTGCACAGCCCTTCCTCCTGCTGCAGAGACAAATGATGATAAATAGCAAGAGTGAATTTCTCCAGAACTTTCTATGTAAGCCAGGCACTGTTGAGAGCTCGGTGTACTTGGCAGTACACATCCGTGCTTCTTACTGGCCGGGCTCCGCTCTGCTCTGGGGGTAAGCATTTTGCAATGTTGTAGCGTAAAATGTGAAACACCTAGCACTTTTGAAGGTCTGCCCTGGTGGTCAACAAAGGAGCCAGTTGACCTTGTGACCATGGTGATCTTCATCACTGCTATCATAGAAATGGAATCTGCCCACCCTATACCATATTATTATCTGTTGCTATTGGATAACAACCAGGCAGAAACAGTGAGACACAGCCCTAAAACTGCTTTTGTGGCTCATACTTCAAATTGACCTGCTCAGACCATGGTTGGTTTGATGATGAAGTTGTTTGATGAGCCTCAGGCTCTTAGGAGTTGTACTCTACCTAGTACTTAGATGTAGTAGGTGGTTACAGGTTGTTGTAGGTGGTTTGTGTCTAGAAAATGGGGTAAACTGCCTTGGAAGTCTCTCTTCTTCCCTTATTTTGCAGAGGATTTGAGTGCCCAGGTTTGGGGCAGGGGAAGCTGGGAAAGGGGCTGTGGGGGAGGAGACGCGCGGGGCGCTCTGCTTGTGTCTGTGTGCTGTGTGGTCCCGTGGACATCCTCACTGGGTTCTCCTGCCGGCTCTCTCCTTGGGCGTCCACCCCATGTCCAGTACACTACCAGAAGATCATCCACCGGGACATCAAACCTTCCAACCTCCTGGTAGGAGAAGATGGGCACATCAAGATTGCTGATTTTGGTGTGAGCAATGAGTTCAAGGGCAGTGATGCCCTCCTCTCCAACACTGTGGGCACACCTGCCTTCATGGCACCCGAGTCGCTCTCAGAAACCCGCAAGATCTTCTCTGGGAAGGTAGGTTTCGACAGCCCAAGCTGCTGGGTTCTACCTGGGTTAGGGTCCTTGGGTCGTAGTGGCAGAAGTCTGGGACAAATGGGCTTGGCTTATACTGAGATGACCAAAGGCTGGGTGCATTTAGTTTCAGACATAGCCAGTGGATCATACCAATGGGTCATTCGCCATCTTTCAGCTCTGTTTGCCTTCCTTGGTTTTCCCTGCAGGTAGGTCAGGTACCTTCAACTCCAGGCTACTTTCCATCAGATGACCACCCTCAGTATCAAGAGCAGAAACCATGGGACTAGCTCTGATTGGCTCAGAGTGGGTCTTGTGCCCATCCCTACACAAGTCGCCATGGTTGAGGGGGGTTGTGCTCTCTTGGCCAGGCTTGAGTCATGCGCCCACCCAGCCGGCTAGAGGCTGCATGAATTTCCTCAAGAAAAGCTGGAAGATTGGGAAAAGCAGTAGTTGGCCCTCCCTGCCTCGGCCCCTCCTACTAAGCAGTCTTTTTCTTGCAGGCCTTGGATGTTTGGGCCATGGGTGTGACACTGTACTGCTTTGTCTTTGGCCAGGTAAGAGAGTTTTCAGTCTAAGTGCTGCTGAATTAATACAGGGAGACACTATTGTCCACTTGACAGTTAGATGACAATGAAAAGGGATAAAATGTATGTACTTGTGTATGATAGCGTTTTTATTATAGATTGTGAAGAAGATGGCCTAATCAACTAGAAAGATCATGAGTTGAGGTTGGCTGGGCTAAGGAGGTCCTATTTAAGAGAGGGAGCACTGAGCACGGGCAAGGCAGCTGCAAAGCTCTGCCCTCCTGAAACCTCCCAGTGGAGGATCATGGTGTCGAGGACAAGGGCTGTAATGGGAGGTGCTGTGGTCAGGCAGGGACAGGGTGACAGTACTTAGATGGAGTGAGTGTAGGGAAAGTTCCTATGAGGTGAGCTTTGATTGGACAGGTGCGTGATGGGAGAAAACAGGAGGTCACAGTGGATTAAGTCTTGGTTATGAGACCTGGGCTAAGCTCTCATAATCACAACTGCTACTCCAGAGCCTTCAGAAGTGTTGTTGCTGTTTTGGCCCCTCTTCCGGCAGGCAGGGAGGAAGAGTACTTGCTTTTGTCTTGGTAGGATGCTGAAGCACAGTAGACTGCCCTAGAGCTGCTAGGACATCCCTGGTCCCTCTAGAACTCAGGAGGGCTGGGGCCTGCTCCCTCCCCAGATGGGGCCAGAGCTGTTGACTTCTCTCCTGTTAACCCTGGGAAGTGACGTCTTCACTCTGAAGACGTGGCAGCCAGTGATCCCACTCTGTCCCTGGCCTCTTAACAGTGCCCATTCATGGATGAGCGGATCATGTGTTTGCACAGTAAGATCAAGAGTCAGGCCCTGGAATTTCCAGACCAGTGAGTACTGCCTGTCTGCCCCCTTATCTCCCTCTGGGTCCTTGGCACCCATCCTGATGTATCTTCCCCTTTAGGCCTGACATAGCTGAGGACTTGAAGGACCTGATCACCCGTATGTTGGACAAGAACCCCGAGTCTAGGATTATGGTGCCGGAAATCAAGGTATCTTGGGACCACCACTGGCCCTAAAGGCCAACACCTGAGGCTTGGCCTGTGTCCTGTGCTTGAAATCATTTGGCTTAACCCTGCCTCGGCCAGGCCCTGCTCCCTTGTCTACCACGCCATGGCCTCATCAGCACTGCTGTCTTCCCACGCCTTGGAGGCACTGGGCCATTGGGGTGTGATGAGGGTTGGGCTTGCATCCACTGTGACTGGGGAGGCGGCATTGCTGACCAACCAGCTTGTGCTGGGGCTGGTGGTGTCCACCCTCCACAGGCTGACCAGGCCTCTGTGTACTCCCTGCCCTGACAGCCAAACCTCTGGATCCTTTCCAGGACCCTACTTGTCAGAGATGACCAGTCCCTTTGAGAAAGTACAGTGAGAATAGAAGGAAGTCAGTGAGCAATTCATCCAGCAGAACGCAGTCTTTGAAGGGACTTCCCACATCTCTGCCAATGCCATGTGTAACACTGGCCTTTTAAGATGTCTCAGTATTGCTCCAGGACCTCTTAGCCACTTGGGTAGCCAGCACGCACTGAAGGGCATCTTGGCAGACCGAAAGGTCACAAATAAAGACTTGCACCCCAGGGAGAGGAGTGGAGGCGTCACTGGCCTGGGTCCTTTCCTGGTCTTTTCCTCCCAGCTGGTCCGGCTGGGTCTTCCTGAGCCACCATTTACTGTGTGTGACGTGGGGAGTGTGCGGCCTGCTTGGGGCTGTGGAGTGATGGGTGTGCCTGGGGCAGCTGGTCAAGGTCGATGCCCAGTTCTAGTTTCCTGCCAATACCGGCTCTGCGGACATCTCAGCCCATGGCTCCTGCCATTCTTTGTCTCTTGCTTTTCCGTCTTTCCTTCATTCCACTCACCTGCCTTCTGCCTGGCTCACTAGCTCTCCTGCATGCTGGCCAGGCCCTGGCCTCTCCCTCCTGCATGCCCTTCTCAGCTCCACTTGCTGGCAGGGCCCCTTGCCAGCCAGCAGCTGCCCTCACCCTCCTGTCATTCGTTGAAGCTGCACCCTTGGGTCACGAGGCACGGGGCCGAGCCACTGCCATCGGAGGACGAGAACTGCACGCTGGTGGAGGTGACGGAAGAGGAGGTGGAGAATTCAGTCAAACACATTCCCAGCCTGGCGACCGTGGTAAGACAGGACAACCAGACTGAGAACAGAGACCAGAGCATCTAAAGCAGGGCTGTCGAGAACAGGGCTGGAACGGGCAATGCCTGCGGAGCACACGCCGGGCCCAAGTTCAAGGCGACAGCTGGGGCTTCCCCTGACCCCATCGCCACTGGCCTCAGGGCCTTGGTCACACACACAGGCCAGGCAGTCCCCCTGTGGCTCTCATGATTCCATAAAGATGAGCCCTCCTTCCCCGCAAGGAGCATACTGTTCCTTCTGGAATTCCTGCTTTCAGAGCATGTCAGGAGAGAATCCAGGAGGAGGAGGACCAGGCAGGAGCCAGGGATTGGGGTCTGTGTGGCTGGACTGTCAGGCTCCGTCGTGGCTAGCTGGGGCGCGGCCTACCTGCCTGCCTGCAGGACCAGGAGCTCCCGCTTCACATGCCCTGCAATGAGTCTTGCTTGGGAGCCACTGGACCCCCTTTATGGCCTTGACTTTGGGTCCTGAACCAGGTGGAAGGACCCAGAATGTAGACTCCCCAAGCCCAGCCTTGGAGACTGGAGAATCACTCCATTGCCAAGCCCTTGCTGGGAGGGCATCTGTCTTCAGAAGAAAAATAAGAGCCCCAGGGGTCCTGGCCCTGGGCACAGAGCTAGGAGTGGAACTGAGCCAGTTGCCCTCCACAGCCGCTGAAAGCCCTGGCTGTGTTTGTCCAGCACTAGCCCCGGCTAGCAGGTGGGCTTGGGGTCGGGAGGACAAAGGCAGCGTCCAGACCCGCGGGACTAGCCCTTCTGACGCTCACAGGCTTCCTTCTGATGCTCCAGCTTTGCACCGCTCCCTTCTGCTTCCACACTCTGCCTCTCTTCCTCCCTGAGCCTGACACCCAGGGCCAGGCACCCATCCATGTCTCTCCCTCCCCCGTCTGGGGCCCCTGCATGAGCCTCACCTACACCCACTCGCTGTCCTCATCCTCCCTTCCTCCCACCACATTCGACTGGCACCAGGGGCAGGGGAGCAGCTGCCTTTGGACCCTGTGTCCACTCCGAGTTATTCTATTCTGGGCTCTGAACCTGACGTAGTGCTCTTCCCTCCTGCCAACCCTTGGGAAAAAACATCTGACCCTGAGGTCTGGAAAACAGTTTTTGAACTACTTCTGAGTAGTTTCCTAGGCAGAGTACAGTGATGAGTGAAACCAGCGGGCCTGGCAACCTGGGGAGGCAGATGATGGCCATGGCACGCACAGTGCAGTAGGGGAGGCAGGTGCTGGCCATGCCTCGGCACGCACGGTGCAGTAGAGGGACCGCCAGGCGCCCGGATGGACAGCCTCCGCCTGGTTGCATTGGGAGTAGCATCCTGGAAGAAGTAGATGTGTCCAAAAAGAATGACAGAGACTGGGTGGGGGTAGAAAGCCTAGCAGGAAGAACAGCGTAGGCATTGTCCTCCAGTGGGAGAGAGTTGGGCCAGCAAGAAGCTTCCAGAAAAACCTGGATTGCTAAATCCTCAAGGAAGTGGAGCTCAGTCCTAAGCATTTGAGGAGTTCTTTCAGGGTCTGGATCCAGCTACTCATTGGGTGGAATGGGGGAGGAGGAGGCAGGTGTTGAGAAGTGGTCCACATTGAGAATTGGGGAGTCCAGCCCCCTTGGTGTATTTGTCATTCAGCAAGCATTTGCTGGGCACCCGTGATAGCCCAGGCTTGAGATGAAAAGATGAGCAAGGACCCGTGTCCGCTGTCAGGGGACCTCCAGCTTCTGAGAGATGAGTGCCGAAAGAGTGAGCCTCCTGCAGGCCGAGAGGCCAGCGATGGAGGTGCTCGGGGAGCTCACAGACAGGAACGGGCAGCCTTGCTGAGGCCAGGCGCCTGCCACAGCCCAGAGGCCTTGTCAGAGAGCTGGGCTGGGACCCTCAGCCTCGCTGGGCTGCAGACTTTGTTCTCCATGGTTTTCCCTTTCTTCCGATTGATCACCAGGGGCAGGGACCAGAGGGAGAGGAGCAGGGGGTGGCTGCTTTCGAAGGGAGGTTCCTGAATGACATAAACATGTCACAACTATGAGGTGACTTCTGCACGCTGTTCTCAACACCACTGAGGTTTCACTCAGCGCTGCTTCATTTGGTCACCTGAGCTCCACGGTTCACATACAAATAAAAGGAGTTGGAGCCCTACTAGCATGGGTGAGGCACTGGGTTCCACCCCTAGCACCACAAAACGTAATAAATAACATAAGCGGGAGGATGTGTGAAGGTTCCTTATAAATTCAGTGCTCCTTTATGTCTGGGGACTTGAGGATCCACAGGTTCTCCCAAGTCCCGAGGGATCTCTATGCTTTGAAATGGTGAATTGGAATTTGGTTGTGTGAATTATTTCTCACTTCTTGAAAGAGCAGTCTTGAGCTAGGCACCAGTGGCTCACACCTGTAATCCTAGCTACTCAGGAGGCTGAGATCTTAGGATCACAGTTCAAAGCCAGCTCAAGCAGGGAAAGCCGTGCGACTCTTATCTCTAATTAACTGCCAGAAAACTGGAAGTGGCGCTGTGGCTCGAGCGGTAGAGCACTCGCCTTGAGCTGAAGAGCTGAGGGACAGCGCCCAGGCCCAGAGTTCAAGCACCATGACTGACAAAAACAACAACAATAACAACATCCCAGGTGATGTCTGAGCTGCTATAGTGTGTTTTCCTTGGGGTAAAATATGGACAAGTTTCACTGACAGTCAGGGCTTGGCCTTGAATACATATAGGCTGCTGGCCCAGAGGTCCTTCCAGAAACGGCTCTGTGAGACAAGTGTGCCAGGTGTGGCCAGTGGCTGCACAGCCAGGGCCCCAAAAGGTCAGCTAGGCTGAGACTGGGTCTCTGCAGACCCCGAGTGTGGACTTAGCAGCTAGGGAGTAGGGAGTGGACGGCTGAGAAGGGATGCCTTCCCCCCTCCCCCCGGGGAGCAAGGCTGCCCCAGCCGTGAGCCTGGGATGCTGACAGGGACTGGAGATGGCGTGGGCGTGTCATTGTGGACAGAGTATCACTGTGCTCCTCTTCCTCGTAGATCCTGGTGAAGACCATGATCCGGAAGCGCTCCTTCGGGAACCCGTTTGAGGGCAGTCGGCGGGAGGAGAGAGCCTCGTCTGTGCCTGGGACTCTGCTCATGTGAGTGTCCACTGCCTTCCTCCCAGGGCAGGGCAGGGGGGCCGAGCACCACCACATGGCGGTGGGGCACCAGGGAGAGACCCCCAGCCGCAAGGTGGAGACGTCAGCATTGGGTACTGAGCCTGGCGCAGCCAGCATCGTGTGCTGTCTGCTCATCCATGAGGAGGTGTCCCCTTTCCCGGGGGCTTCCGGCTTCCATGGGAGGTCTCTTGGCCAGCAGCTCATTTGTTACCCAGAAACACCAAGTGTTTTTTGCTGTGGGACCCTACATGTTAGTGCAGAGAGGAGCCTGCCCACCTGCAAGGAAAGCCGTGTGAAAGCAGCTGTTGGGCAGGGGACAGCCGCCCATGGTCCTGGGAAGCCTCTCTCACTTCCCTTTTCCCTCCCTCTGGCAATTCCAGCAAAAAGCCAACCAGGGAGTGGGAGCCCCTGTCTGAGCCCAAGGTAACGCCTGCCTGCCTGTGCCGTAGCCTCTGCCGGGGCCTGGGGGCGGGGCAGCTGCAGAGTGAGGGGCGCCTCCAGCCCAGCTGCGGTGCCCGGCTCCCTGTGAGCCTTCAGACTCGGGGGCTTGGGCCCGACAGTGGGTCTTGCATGTGGGCTGGGCTGCGGTGCATGGCGCTCCACCCGGAATGCCTGTGAACTCACCCAGGTCTTCAGGCCCAGGTGGGCACCCACATACTCAGTGCACGGCAACAACATTGAGGCTGCCTCGGGCCCCAGGGCTGCCTTACTGTGTACGCGTGTGTGCGTGTGTGTGTGCTCTGAGCACAGATCAGGCCTGGTGCACTCTGGCTCTTCACCAGGGGTACCCAACACCTGCCCTTTCTTCTCTGCTGGGTTGAGAACTAGAAAAGAAGTCCCCTTCTGCCTGCTGCACAGTGATGTGAGTCCTAGGACTCAGTAGGACCAGAGCTTTCTCTTCTGGCCGGGACATCCAGACCAGCATTACCTGCACCGCCCAGGACAGAGGAGAAAAGGTGTCATTGTAAGACTAGAAGGACCTGGCTGGACTCGTTCCCAAAATGCCTGCTGCAGGACGAAGACCTGAAGTCCTGATGTGGCGGGCTGTCTCCCACTGGGAACTCCAGGCAGCCATTTCTATTGTTAAAGATAGCTTTTTGAGGCCTGGCCTGTAGCTCTGTGCAAGGACATTTGCCCAGGATATATGAGGTCATGAGTTTGATCCTCAGAAACACACACACACTCAGATTAGCTTTATTGAGGTGTAATTCACATATCTTACTGCTCGCTCACTTAAAGTGTACAGTTAATATCATCCCAGAGCTATGTGGCCGGCTGCACATAACTTTAGGATGCTTTCATTAGCTCCAGAGGGCCCCTGCATCCCTACCCAAACACCCATTTTCTGAGGATTTGTCTGTTCTGGACATTGGCTGTCACTGGACTCATTTGGTGTGTGGCCTCTCCTATCTGGCATCTTTGATTGGCACTGTGGTTTTGAGGCTCATCTGGGTCATAGCTCAGGTCATGGCTCTGTCCTCTGTTGTGATTGAGCAATATCTAGGTGCAACCCCCTTTGTTTATCCATGCATCCGCTGATGGATGTTCTGTCTCCTTGGCTATCATAGATGCTGACGCTGTGGACATGTGTGCACGGGGGAAGCCCTTCTCTTTGTTAGGAGTTAGCTTCTGAGAGGAAATGTATTGGCCACTGGTACCCTAGCAGCCAGGAGCTTGTACGGTGATCTAGGAGAGCACTTTGATTTTGAGAGGCCTCGCAGTCCAGAGCAGGCCAGAGGCTGTGTCAGCAACAGCGGTCAGGCCAGTCTTCAACACCTTCCTTCCCACGAGAAGCCTTTCTTCAGCTTCTTCAGCCCTTCTCTTCTTAACCTCCATGTTAGGCTTTGCCTCTCTTCTCTGAGAAAGTCTGTTCTTTGTTTTTATTTTCAGTGTGATCAGCATTGTCAGATGCCATCAGAGATTGGCCTGAAGAGTGGCAATGCCCTGTCATTCCCTCACCTGTGGCCCCAGTGATGCCTGTTGCGGGTGCCATGCTTATCATGGGCCATGCGGTCCTGCACCAAAGGCCGCTGCTCTCTCCACTGAGACCCAGCCCATGCCACAGCAAGAGCAGGAGCAGAGGCTCGGGTCTGACAGCTAGTCACAGCTCTCTACTGCCCCGGGGCCTTCACCTCCCAATTGTGGATGTGATTTTCTTTTTTTCTTTTTTTCCTTTTTTTGTCAGTCATGGAGCTTGAACTCTGGGCCTGGGCACTTTCCCTCAGCTCTTCAGCTCAAGGCAAGCACTCTACCTCTTGAGCTACAGTGCTACTTCCGGTTTTCTAGTGGTTTAGTGGAGATAAGAGTCTCACGGAGTTTCCTGCCCGGGCTGGCTTTGAACCGTGATCCACAGATCTCAGCCTTCTGAGTAGCTAGGATTACAGGCGTGAGCCACTAGTACCCGGAGTGGATGTCATTTTCAAAGAGGTGTTTTCTTCCTGGGAGGCACAGACATTATTTCCCTTTCCTGTATAGGGACACAGGTATCTTATCTGCCCAGGGCACACAGAGCCTTATGGAGAATGATGGACAGTAGCCCCAAAAGGTGAGCCCAGTGACTTCCCTTGTAAGACAGAGGGCTCAGGCCCCTCCTTAGAGATCTCCAGCATAGCTGACACATCCAGCCACTCTTCTGGGACTCGGGGCTCTTCTGAGAAGGGAGGGGTTTTCCTGTGACCTGGCTGGTGGGGGCTCGGGTGGTTGGCACAGGCCACTGCCCCAGGAGCACAGTCACAGTTCCAGCCCTGGAGGAACTTCCTTCCTAAAGGGGCGAGAACACACTGTGGTAGGACCCGCGTTCTACTTGTGACCCATGCCATGATTGTCACATAGCTTTGCATCTGCTTTATAAATATTCCTTGCTATTTGGGGCAAATCATGGCTCCCTTGTTTATGGAGGGAGTGCAGAGGCTTTTGAAAAAATGTATGTAAGCAAGAACAAAAGGAGGAAATACCTCATAATGTCCCTGGTGGCATAAGATGGCACTCCTGAGCGGATGGCACCCAAGGCCGGAGCCGGTCAGGGCCCTGCTGTTGTGTCTCTGTGAGCAGGTATTAACACTGGTTTTCTGTTTGGTGAGCAGGAAGCAAGGCAGCGAAGAGCTGGCCCCCGCAGGGGAGGAGGAAGTGATCTTGTGAAAGGTGGTCCCTGCGTGCAAAGTTGGGGGGTCCTGGCCCCTGGCTCCCCCACGCATAAGCCTCCACAGCAGCCTGAAGAGGTGATGGAGCCGGAGTAGCGTGTGGACCGCTCGACCTCGCATGCCTGGCTGTGCTGCCCCGCGCATGCCTGGCTGTGCTGCCCCGCGTGGGCGGCCGCACCGCGTTTCCATAGCCGCATGTCCTACGGAAACCCGCACGTGTAGAGCCTTGACCGTCATCTCTGGTTACTTGTTTTCTTCCTTGTTATTTTAAAGGGGACAAAAAAAAAAAAAAAAGACCCTGTGATGTTGTGGCCGCTGGCTGGCTGGACCCACAGGTATGAGTTGCAGACCCAAATCCATGTGCACTTTGGGACAGTTGCTTTTTAAAATGTTTTTATGCCAAAAACAACAACAACAACAAAGAAACAACCTTCATTGGGAATTCAGAGCCCTGTGAGATGTTCTGAGTGAGCGTGCGCAGGCGTGGACTGTCGGGAAGCAGGCACGCACGATGTGGCTGTTTCCAGAGGGAGTAGAAAGTTCAGGTCACTCCTGTGAAAACCCCAAGCCGTGGAATCTTCCAGAACAGTGCCTGGAGAGCAGGGCTGGCACTCAGAGCTGCAGGGAGCTGCCACACAATTCATACGCCAGAAGGACTTATGAATGCTTTGATGTCAGGATAATCAGAAGGGCTGCAAGTCGTATTGCTTCGTAAAATGGATTTTCCAGCCTAGCAGGGGTTCGCCAGGCGTGGTAGGGAAAGGCTTCGCCTGGGCTCCTGCTGGTGCACAGTGGGTCTCTGGTGGTGGCTGGCCAGGCACTAGTGAAGCTCGTTGTTAAATGATAAAAACTTTAGGGTGAAATCCTACACTTCCATGTACATTACATGGCTTACGATTCAACATACAAATGAATTCCAGTTCTCTAGACTGAACTCTAGGGAAGTTGTAGAAGATTCAGTTGTCTAGACTGAACTCTAGAGAAGTTCAGAAGTTACTTGGAGCTTCCAGGTCTTGTGTCACGGCTCCAGCCTGGTGACACCTGCGCCTGTGTATCAGCAGCTCCACTGCCATGCCTCTGAGCTTTCCTTTCATCCTAGCTGCTTGTGTGAACCCCACTGCAGCTTCCAGGGCCACGTGGGGATGCCGAGATTCAGTGGCCATCCTTGGCAGCACAATGTGAGGGTACACACGGTGAAATGGGGACACCCTTTCGGAACATTGTTGAGACTCCGGGTCCAAGCAACCCAGGGCTTGGCACAGGAAGTTACCTTTGGTAACCAGTAGCCCAGAGCAAAAAAGGTGATTTTTTTTTTCCTTCCAACCAATCTTGGGAAGTTTGGTTGAGGTTTGGATGTGACTGTTGCTGCCATCCAGGGGTGGGTGTGCGTGAGGTTCAAGGGGAGGGCAGCTGGAAGGGCTGTCTTGAGCTCTGCTCCCCAGTGCATTGCAGGGAAATGGGGTGTTGATAACAGAGCTCGGAAGACCCCGTTTCTCTTGTTTTCTGCCTTGGTTCTGGGACTTTCTACAGAGAGAGAGCGAGGCTGGTTCCCCTGCCCAGAGCCACAGAGTGCTGGCATTCTTGGCTTCCATAGGTTTTTCTTATGCTCTTGACTGTAGTTTAGCCAGACTTTTCTTGTGTAAGTATAGCATTAGGGCATGCTGGTTCTGAAGAGCAAGGACTCCGGTCTCGGAGGGGTCCCTCGCCTGCTTGCTTTGTGTCTGTAGTCAAGTATTTCCTCTTGCCCTCCCCCTCTTTCAGGGGAAAGCACCCAGTAGCTCCACCCTCCAGTAGCAGATGGGGTCTGGTAAGTTCGCAATAGCACCTTGCAGTGGTTTAAGCCAACCAGTCCTTAGTCTCCATCCAACCTGCCTGGGTGGACACCAGCCTGGGGAAGGAAGGGTGCAGCGCAGAACTCTCCGGAGCCCCTTGTGTTTACACAACAGCATCAGGCAATGCCATTTCTCATTTCTCCTACCACGGAACCTTCCATCCAAGATGTCCTATGTGGAATGCCAGCCACCAGGCAACAAACAGATGTTCAGGCAGGTGGTGGGGGAAGGGCCACATCAATAACATTAAAAAAAAAAAATAGCAGGGTGCTGGTGGCTCAGGCCTGTCATCCTAGCTACTCAGGAAGCTGAGATCTGAGGCTTGCAGTTCAAAGCCAGCCTGGGCAGGAAAGTCGGTGAGACTCTTCTCTCCAGTGAACCATCAAAAAACTGGAAGTGGTGCTGTGGGTGAAAGTGGTAGAGGACTAACCTTGGGCCAAAGAGCTCAGGGACAGCGCCCAGACCCCGAGTTCAACTCCCATGACTAAAAAAAAATCCACCAAAGAAAGCTATGGACAGGAACTGTTACCCTCCCAACCCCCACCCTGGAAGATCTAAAGCGGGCAGCTGTAGTCAGTGGAGCCCTAAGGTGCCCTTCTTGGAGCACAAACATGGAGTCTTCAAAGGCCAGTCTGCCAGGAAGCGGGGAAGCTGCTTTGGCAGCTTTTCTGTGTGCACAGATGTCCTGATGCCTTTGCGCAACTGGCTTGTCCATGGACCATTGCGGTGTAAGCAACTCGGCCTGCATCTGTGGCCTTGTAGGAAGTACAAATCCTCCCCTGCTTTTCCCTCCTGTCCTCTTCCACATCCTCCTTCTATCCCACAGGCTGCCCTGGCCCTGGCCCCCCGCAAGGCTTCCAGTCCCTTGTTCCTGCATAAGTCTACAGAGGCCATCTCTCTGCAGGTCTGGCCTTCCCATGAGGCAGGATTCCTTCCACGAAGCCCTTCTGGAACTAGGAAGGGAACATCCGTACAGGTGGCCAGCTCGGTAAGGACTGTGGCTCTCACCCATCTTCCAGAGAGGAACGTCCCATCACTGACAGTGGGGCCGGGGCAGCCACTCGCGTCCAAGGTGCTAGGGAAGGGTAGTGTTGAGGGTTATTGTGTTTCCTCTAGCTTCACTGGCTGATCTTCATGGGACTTGTGACTTTTCTATTCTGTAACTAATTATCCAGTGCCCAATGCTTCTGTTTTATTCCTGATCCTTTCTACTATGCATTTTCCTTTCATCAGGTGTACAAAGTTAAATACTGTGTATTTATCACTTACAAGTTAAGAAACTTAAGCCTTTGGTGTTTTTCCACAGATGATTTAAGCTTCTCTGTAAACTTGAAATAAATGGACAGCAAAATGGTGCAGTCTGGGCCTCCTGGGAGTCTGTGATGTGTTGTTGTTTAGGTCATCTGTCCTTAATGTTTGTTTTCCTTCCTTAGGCTGACAGCAGGCCAGATGCTCAAGGCCAAGCTAATGTAGCCAGCAGATCCCTGATTTAAGGTGTGTCTGTGAATGTCACTGCTCACTGCGTCCCCAGACCAGCGCTGTCTGCAGCACCTGGGACTCAGGTAGAACTCAGGCAGAACTCACGAGCCCAGGCCCCATTTAAAGCTGCTCCCAAGTGCCACCTGCAGGTCAGAGGGGGAGATACTGCTGTGGAGGTGGTGAGCAGGGCTCCCCTCGCATAGCACGTCGGTACCTACATGCAGGCCGTTTCGTTTGTCCAAGGGCTTGGACAGCAGAGTACCCTGCAGTACAGTTTAGCATCTGGAGAGGGTTGCTCCCTCCTTCCAAGGTCTCCAGAGGGTGGATGGGCCACAGGGTGGAGCTCTGTCAAACCTCACTTTTGAAGGCACTTGACCCCATTCTTGGACTCAGCCTCCCAGAGACCCCCCTCCTTGTCACACGGAGACTGGCATGTGTTTGTGAGGGGACACACGCACACAGCACATCACTTCTCAGAGCTCCAGCTCCCTGTGACCTGTGTGTTCAAGAGCTTTTTTTTTTTTTTTTTGGGGGGGGGGGGGTCCGGTCATGGGGCCTGAACTCGGCCTGGGCGCTGTCCCTCAGCTCTTCAGCTCAAGGCTAGCACTCTACCACTGGAGCCACAGCGCCACTTCCAGCTTTTTCTGTTTATGTGGTGCTGAAGAATCGAACCCAGGGCCTCATGCTTGTAAGGCAAGCACTCTACCGCTGAGCTACCTTCCCAGCCCCTTCGAGAGCTTTTTTAATATATAAAGGCCACACAATTGAGCTTTGTTGAAGCATTTGGTAAACTCCCTGCTCCCTCTACAAAAACAAAAAATGAGGAAAGGCCCAGTTGGCCATTTATCCCAACAGAAACCAGCACTTTTTCCCTCCCTCCTTGGTTCTGGGGCTTCCACTCTAGGCCTGTGCACTGTCCCAGAGCTTTTGCTCAAGGCTAGCACTCTACCACTTGAGCCACTTCCAGCTTTTTCTGTGATTAATTGGAGAAGAGTTTCACAGAAGCTGGGTATTGATGGCTCACACCTGTAATCCTAGTTGCTCAGGAGTCTGAGATCTGAGGATCACAGTGTAAAGCCAGCCTGAATAGAAAAGGTTATGAGACTCTTCCTCCAATAAACTTCTCTAAAAGCCAGAAGTGGTGTAGCTCACGTGTTAAAGTGCTAGCCTGGATCCCAGAGAAGCTCAGGGACAGTGCCAAGGCCCTAAGGTCAAGCCCCAGGATTTTCCTGCCTGGGCTGGCTTTGAACTGTGATCCTCAGATCTCTAATCCGAGCAGTTAGTATTACAGGTGTGAGCCACGGGCACCTGGCTAGAAGCCAGCACTTGGGAACTACAGGTCTCCTCAGCACTTGGAAATGAAGCACTTGATGGCGAAGGGCGGGACACGCTGCTTGCTGCATCCTCAACACCAGCTGCAAGTTCACGTGTGAAGCTGGGGCTGCAACAGCTCGGCTGCTGTCTGGCAAGACAGGGAGAGGTGGGCCTGCTTCTGGTTGGGGGCTTGAGAAGCAGATTGGGGAGGAACACATAGCCACATGACCATGCTCCAAGCCTGGCAGTGTGGTTTTGTATAAAAATGAGCACAGGGAAGGAAGGCCGTGTACACAGCATAGGAAGGAAACCTCATGCAGACCAAAACTTAAGAGGCTGGAAGTGGTGCTGTGGCTCAAGTAGAGCGCTAGCCTTGAGCTGAAGAGCTGAGGGACAGCGCCCAGGCCCAGAGTTCAGGCCCCATGACACACACACACACACATACAGGCTTTTAAAGGTTCAAGTAAGGGGGGCAGGACATTCCTGGGTACAGGGGTGGGTCATGAAGGTGTCAACCTGACACCAGAGAAGGGTTAATTCAGGGGTGACAGAGATTGAGCCACACACAGGCACATCCAGGGATGCGAGGCTAAGAGGAGCTAGGAAAGGCAAAAAAAAAAAAGGCACGCCAACTGCTGGGCACTGATGGCTCACGCCTGTAATCCCAGCTACTTGGGAGGTGAGATCCAAGGATCGTGGTTCAAAGCCAGCCTGGGCAGGGAAGTCCATGAAACTCCTCTCTCCAATTAATGTCTAAAAAGCTGGAAGTGAATTGTGTCTCATGCTGTAGAGTGCCAGCCTAAAGCAAAGAAAAAAAAGCTCAGGGGCAGCACCCAGGCCCTGAGTTCAAGGATTGGCATGTTTAAAAAAAATCAGTGTCAGCTGGTTGTTTAAACACAAGCAGGGGTTTGTCAAAGGCAGTGGTGCTGGTGGCAGGAGGAGCTGCAGAGGACTAGCCGTTCCTGGGTGTGCCTGCCCCCACCAAGGGGCCATCTTGTTAGCAAGGTTCTTACCCAACAGACTGGTGAGGACCGCCCCCTACCTTTGTAGCTTCCGGCCTCCACTTTGTTAGGGTTTGGCCTGAGTGACTCTATGTTGATGCTCGTAACTATCACATAAGGAAAGGCAAAGCCACACAAGGATTGAGAAAATCCTGTTTTAATGTTTGGTCCTCATCTTCTGCCCACTCTGCCTCATGATTGCAAGGACAAAGTCCGCGGCTGGAGGGAAGAAGAGCAGCAGCCCGGCCTGGCTCTGCTTAAGTCTGGGGAGCACGGTGAGGAGACCCTCCTCTGTCCCCAACATAGTGTCCCAACTGGGTGGCCGTGCCTAGGAGCTGCAGCGGCCCTCGGGGCTGGAGACCGGAGCCTCTGGGGAACGCCGATTCTGGCGGCTCTCGAGAAGGCCCAGCTAGCCCATAGGCCAGGGCAGCGCCAACATCCGCGGGCCAGCGGCTCACCCAACACCGCCACTGCGTGGGAAGAACGGCGGGACACTGCAATCACTGTACTGAGTGGGCAAATGAGCCCTACACAGACACAGGAGACGGGTGTGACGGCACCCCTGCAGCGGAGGCGGGAGTCTAGCCAGTGAGACACTGACTCAGAAAACAGTGACGACCACAAAAAAAATCCCACAGGAGGTTCTGGACAGCCTCGAGTGCAGTGGAGTCTGATCAGAATCTCCAGCGTCATCTGGGTGGCGGCATGGCCATTTGTCCCTTCTTGCTGTGCTTGCAAGAGGGCCAAGGGAGCCTGGTGAGCGCAGGAGGTTTGGGCATCACTGCTCCAGCTCGCCAGCGAGACCCTGCGAAGGCAACAAGCGGGTAAGGGTACGCCCGGCACGCACCACCCCGGCCGTGCCAGGAACACCTCAGACAGGGGAGGGAGGAGCTTCCGGACTTCCCACCAGAGAGGATTCGCATTGGTCCTGGGATAGGAGTCCCACAGGGTGGAACAGTGGTGAATGGAGAGATGACCACATCCACCATCGTAACTGCCTCACTAACAAAATCCAGCAGCGAAGTGGATGCCAGAGGCAGTGTGAAACGGCCCGGGGAGATGGCGAGCAGGTGATGGACAGGGTGCTGGATGCCAGCGCTGGTAGAAGGGCTTTGCCTGAGGGGGGCAGGCCTGCTCCACTGGGCTGAGTGACGGGCAAGGTGCTCCAACCGCCGGCCTGCAGGGCACAGCAAGCCTACCTGCTCGTAGTCTTCCACATACTTGTACTTCTTCTCCCGGTAGTAGAACCTCTTCTTCATGCAGTAGAGCACTATGACGTCACACAGCACCGTCGCCTGAAGGAAGTGCAGCAAGCACAGCGTGAGCCAGGAGCCAGAGAGCTTTTTTTTTTTGAGGGGGGTGGGGGTCAGTCGTGGGGCTTGAACTCAGGGCCCAGGCACCGTCCCTCAGCTCTTTAGTTCAAGGTGAGCACTCTACCACTTGAGCCACAATGCCACTTCCAGTTTTCTGGTGGTTCATTGGAGATAAGAGCTTTGAACCGCGATCCTCAGAT